TTGATCACCGGTTGGTGGACATGAAAAAAACTGAGAATTTTGGGACAACGGATTTTCGTCCGTTTATTGCATCGTTGATTAATAGTGATCTACAAATAGTAAGGACGGAAAAGGGAAAGAGATGTTTGAATCAATAATCACATACACAATCTAAATCCTACGAAGTAATTCATTTATAGACCATTATACTTTTTTTTTTGAAACGGCAATATATAAAAGGCGAGGCAAGCAAGACGCCAACCCGCCCAAGCAGCGAAAAAGATTACAACACGTTCAAATTACAACTCCAGTCATTCCAAGAGGTCGATCTACCAATTTTACAACGATGCTTAAACCAAATGAAAGCGGAAGATTGAATCAAATTAGCCGTTACGAGCGGATTAAAGACCCCTTTGCTGAAAATCACCGAATAGCACACCAGACAAACCTCAGCAAAGCATGGACAATGCAACTCCTTATGATCTCCTTAGAACTGACCCCGTTCGAGGTGCTGACCGAAAAGAGAAGATCATCTATCGAGCTAACTGAATCGGGAATCCAATAAGCCCAACATTTTAAATTACGTCTCACACCCACAACTTTCCTGCAGTCAAGCAAAATGTGGTTAATCGTTTCCGGGTATTCCTTGCAAAGAGGACAAAGATCGTCTTCTAAATGAATCCCTCTTTTAATCAGATTAACTTTCGTAGGCAGCCTATCGAGTCTCGCCCGCCAGATGAATATTCTGATTTTCATCGGCACCATTTTTAACCACAACGTCGGAGGACCACATCTTCTAAGCCCCATGGTATCAATCGCTTTCCGCAACAGAGCCACCGAGAACACTTCTGTTTTATCCAGATTGCATCTCCATTTGTCGCAAGAGCCAAAACTGAAGTTCTCACATAGGGATATGATCGAATTCAGGTCCGTTGTTCCTGCCCGTCGCGAATCGGCCTTCTCCAATCCCACAAGAAAGTAAGTCCATTTTAAGATATACAAATTCTATCCGAAATCGAACAATTTGGATCCGTTTCGAGCGAAGCCAAACTAGGGAAAGAAGAGGATAACGATCTGCTAGAACACCAAGCTTCAGTCCAAAATTTAGCGTAACGACCCTCTCCTATAACTTTAGAAAAAACCGCATTTAAGTCTAAGTTGCACTTAGACATGTGATCATTTATTTTGATAATTTGGCTCCAAGCCCCATTGAGCCTAACCGGCCGATCGCTCGGGGCAAGACCATTATACTAATTGTATGCTTCAACAAATTGCATATTCATTGGTGGTGCTACGCTTTTATCACATGAATCTTGAAACTTAGGTACAATTAAGAATTAGGGTTTACTTTTTGAATGAGGTATCACAAAACTTTTAGTTCTGTCACTTGGAAATCGATAAATAGATGCAAATAATAAAAATGTTAGCGTTACAAATATGCGGCGGGTTCAATTTTTTTTGCCAAACATGTGCACCTTTGATGTGGATTAAAGGCCCGTAAATTCGTCCGATGTGTTTTTAGCCGAATTCCACCTTTTCAAGAAAAAATTTCGATTTTTTGTTTGATTTGAGGGTTTTTTTTCTTCGGTTTTTTGGTTTACGCTTGTATTTTCTAATTATCCTAAAGCACCCCTCAAAATTTAGCGCACACACCTTTCATATTCTAAAAACGATACTACCAGCAAAAAATTGGTTGAGCAGGTGCACGGCGTTCATAGGTCTGCCCTGAAATATGGTTTCTGATGATTATTTCTAGACAAAACAAGAGAAACTTCACCTGCATGCCCTCTTTCCTGATTAGATGTCTTGCTATGTAGTATTATAAAAGGAAGGGGAGGAAGGACACAGAATATTACCAATGATAACAGCACAATTAACAAACTAGCAGAAAAGGAGTGTTTGAGATTGCTCATTTGAAACAACTTATTGTTTTCTACAAAAGTCCTTATCAACTTATTATAAGTTAGAGTAGTTTAACTTTTCAAAAACTCCTTATTTATTACAAGTTTGACACCGGTATAAACTGTTTATCCAAACATTCAAAAGTGCTTATTACCGATGTCACACCATAATAAGTTTCATTATACTAACTCAAAACATACAATGAATGAAGTAAAAAATGAAGTCCATTTTATAGAACAAAGTTCAGAAAAAGTTAGGCAGAAAGTTATCATCCTTTAGCTGCCAGCCACACGATTGATTACCTTGGATTCATCTTATGTGGTGTAAATGGAACTGGGAACTAGGTGTTACCATTGACAATAACACAGTCTAAATCACAGAAAAATAAATAAAGATATTGAGATGGTTTGACAAAATGGATGTAGCAAGACAGTAGAGTTATTATATATTGTATGATTCTCAACTTTTAGTAGAAGGTACAATGAATGAAGGAAAATGTCACAACCTTTTTGAAGAACACAATTGAGGAAGAATGGGGAATATGGCAGATCTTTTTTGTCTTTAAGATGTTACTAAGTAGTAACATGGAATATTCATCACATTAATTAATTGGCCGATTTTTAAGTATTAAATTAGACATACATGCGCGCGCACACACACATATAGACACACACGTACGTATATATGTACAGTATCTCGTGTCCACTTTGTGTGCATACGTGTACACACAGGAGAGAGAGAGGAGGGGGGGGGAACCCATAGCTAAGTAATGAGTTTATTGGTTTCTTGGCTAATAATTTTATTACTAATTTAAGGAACCTAATCGACTTAAAAGTAAAAAGGAAACACTTCAAAGGATGAAGAGAAGCCATACAAGGATTTTTTTTGCATCTTTTATGTGTGTTTTTTAGCGGTTACGGGAACGTTGTGAGACTAATCAAAATGAAGCACGAAAGAAGAAAACCAATTACCAAAGGGTCTCTGGCCTAGCGGTATATGAGTCCTTGTACTTCTAAGAGGTCAAAGGTTCAAACCTCACCAAAGATGAGGAGAGTGTGTGAGTTTAGTTCTATTTGTTGTATGTAAATATTATATACTTAAAAAAAAAAAAAGAAGAAGAAAACCAATCGATGGAGCAAAAAATAAAAGGCTATGTACCCTTTGGGTTTGTGTGAAATAAATACAGAGTCAATGGTGCGGTCATTTTTTTACGTATTTTCCCTTGATATTAGTGTAATATATAGTATAAATTATGCGGTTTCCTTGGTGTGAAAGAAAAGTATAACCTTTGAGTAAACTTTTTGTTTTATTGAAAAAATTATTCAAAAGGGTGATCAATATGTTTAGGTGTTGTTCTTGAAGTATAAAACATTCCATCTATTTCGAATTGTTTCTTTCTATTTTTAGAAAGCCATAAACAATATTGGTTGATTCCATGTACTATAAGAATGGATCGCTTACATGATGATATAGAGCGCAAATAAACTTAGACTTTACAGACTTATTCAGTCATATGTTACTTATTGGAGTGTAACCAAGACAAGACAGTTCACAAGCTACTCGAGATCGGCTATTTCAGAACTCGACTCAAACTTGAAATCAACTCGACATACTAACAAGTTGAGTTCACCCGACTCGATAAACTCGAGAGATACTCGAAATTTTTATATAATTAGTTTTATAATAAAATTTAGAACAAATAAATAACCCAATTAAATAATTTAATTTCTAAAAAAAGGCACAATAGAGGGCCAACCCCTGTAAATTCTCTAAATTATGAAGTGTGGGTGTGGAGTGAGTTCGATATCGGATGTTTAGAGAAAAAGGAGGAGATTATATAATAAAACTCCATGGAGGCTTAGAGAAAGTGAATGGTGTGGAAGTGATTATATAACGAAACCCTATAGTTTTAAAGTAGAAAAAGACTAAAATACCCTTCATCTAATGAGTTTTAATGTCCGTTAGAGAGAGGAGCCAAATCCAGTTATTTTTACAAACCGTAATGGCCATATTGTTCGAAGCTGTAGTGACCAAAATACAACCTACAAATGACAAGGACCAAATTTGTTGTTTACTCTGATAGATTCTTATTTTAAATTAATCAAAAATTGTCTATAAAATAAAAAAAATAAAATAAAATACAATATCATTTAATATAGAAAACAATTAAGTCTGTTTTAATATTTTGCCAAAGCCTTATCTTAAGTTTGAGAGAGTCCTTACCAAAACTAGGCTTGTTTCGAACCGATCGAGCTGACAGACCTGGCCGTCAGTCTGCGTTCCGTCTTTGCTATTGAAACCATACCTTTATAAAGGGCTGAGTACTAGGTATGGTTCAATTTCAGGGGAAAAGAGAGAAAGGGTAAAAGGGGAATAAATGGCTTAATAAAGGGCCGAGTACGAAGGACATCATTTTTCTAGCTGTCAACCCATAGCTGGCCGAATAAGTCCATACCCAACAGCTGGATATGTGCGAATAAGCCATATCCTTTATATAGCCCATTAAGCTCCAACCGAACATCCCCTAACTCTTCTTGTTTGATTTTCTTTTCCTTTTATATATTCATTATTTAAATTTGCATTTAATCGATGAAAACTAAGCAAACTACAAAACAGACTTTGTTAAGCTTGTGAAACATGAAGACATTTTAAACCTATATCACAAGCATATATGTATTTAGCTAATAAAAGATCACCTGGCTTAAGTTCAGAGTTGCATGGTTGTGGCTGTGTGGATCAATAATGGAACAATATGCAGACGGTTAGCGACAAAACAATGAGCATGCAGGTTTCTTGCTTGATTCTACTTCCAGCATTACCTCCAAACAATAAAATAAAATTATTTTCCAGTTAGTAATTTTTTTTTTCTAAAACAAAATTATATTAATTTCTTAATTCTTGGAATAATGCAATGTTGTTAACACGTGAACCTTTTCTTTTATTGGAGGCAATATTATAATGTTAAGCATGTAAAAGCAAGAAAAACAGGATCCTTGTAGATAGAGAGAGACCAAAAAGCTAGAAGTGTATGATTGTCTGTTCTTTAAATAAGCATTCACATCCCCAAATTGTCATACTCACCAGCAAACACAGAGAAACAGGATAGCCATTGACGAAAGATGGGAAAGGCACCTTGCTGTGACAAAGCAAGTGTGAAGAAGGGGCCATGGGATCCTGAAGAAGATGCTAAACTAAAAGATTACATTGAAAACCATGGTACTGGTGGCAACTGGATTGCTCTTCCTGGAAAGATTGGTATATATATATATCTTTGCTGATAGTTTTGCCTTTTCAATGTTTCCTACTTCCCTTTGTTCTTGTGTGAGATCCCTTTTCGAATTATGATTAACTTAACAATGACTTGCAGGAATAAAGAGGTGTGGGAAAAGTTGTAGATTAAGATGGCTTAATTACCTAAGACCCAACATTAAGCACGGAGGATTCTCTGAAGAAGAAGACAACATCATTTGCAGCCTTTATATTAGCATTGGCAGCAGGTATTACTCTCTCTCTCTCTCTCACACACACACACAAAAACTACCAGTACAACAAAATTGAGTTTATAGGACACCCCCAATCTCTAAGTGTGCAAATAGACCTCTTTATAAGACTTAATTTATAGGACCAAAATATAAAGTGTCCTATCTAAAGGTGTTGTAATAAGTTTATATGACGCTTTTGGGCATCTTAACAAGTTTTTTAGGACATTTTTAATACAAAGTGTCGCATTATAAACTCATTTTTTTATAGGACACTTGTTTTATAGGACAATTTTTCAAATAGTGTCCTATAAAGTTGATAATGGGATACTTTATATTAAAAGTGTCCTAAAAAACTTATTACAACGCCAAAAAACGTCTTATAAACTTATTACAACATCTTTAGATAAGACACTTCATCTTTTTGGTCCTATAAACTAAGTCCTATAAAGAGGTCTATTAGGACACTTAGAATTTGAAAGTGTCCTGTAAACCCTCTCATGTGTTTGTTTGTAGGAGTTATGGGTAGGTTTCAAGTTTCAACCATTGTTTGTCCTTTGCACTTGTCCATGATGCTTTTATTCAAAGAATATGGCCCATCTCATAATATTTATTCACATTTCTTGTTGATTTTCATCTATTTAAGTCCTTTTTGATTTGGAAAATATATTTCTTAGTTCTTGCCTTTGGTATATAAAAACATGCTAATATTGTCTCTAATTTGCCTGGACAATAAAAAAGGTGGTCCATAATTGCTGCCCAACTGCCGGGAAGAACCGATAATGGCATCAAGAACTACTGGAACACTAGGTTGAAAAAGAAATTGCTTCGAAGGTGTAAACAAGCTCAACCGAATTGGCTCTCCGTTCCGTGCACGAACCTGAAAGAAGAGAGCAGTATAGAAACACCAAGCAATTCTGCCATTGATGACAGGCTTCATCTTCATATGCAACTCCAAAGCCTTGAAAACCCTAATATCTTTAAAGCTAATATGGAGACGTGGCCTTGCAAGTTACCCCCTATTCAAGAAAAGATGATGAGAAACCTCCAATTGTTAAATGAATCTTCAAATTCTCTAATGATGCAACATGTTTCACATAATACCCCTCAAAATGCTGAGCTCTATGGGACATCAAATAATAGCCTTCAACAGGAATATTCACCTAGTACTATGATGGTCAATGGAATGGATAATTCCATTAACGGAATCGATATTCCTGGGTCATCGACACATGCATCAGAACTTGGTGATACAGAACAAAGAAGAATGGAATTACAGCAGTTTTGGGCATTTCAAGCTGGAATCGATGAGTTTTTGAACGACAATGGAGCTAATCTTGTATCTATGAATCAAGCACATATGAGAGAATTTGATTATTTCAAGGTACATGGATGGTGCCAATGACGACATGACTTAAAATGCAGTGTCCTCTTAATTAACTCTAGGAATTAAATGGTATCCTTGATCACTGGTTTTCTTCTCTTCTAGGAGTAATCATGGAATAAGTCATTATGTCTAATAATTCCAATATGGTGAATCCCATATAGAAGTCGTTAATGGGAAGTTGTTGGTCAGATGATCGAGCACGAAACCATTTTTTTCTGAAATTTGTTAGAAGTTATAAACTATGCATGTGCTTGCTTGCTGCTGCTGGTATTTACCATAATGTAGGCCAACATATTTTGTATATTTGAAGTTGTAAATTATGTTTTATTGATTTGATAGAGAAATGGTAATATTGCATATTTTTACAATTTTTTTTATTAACCTGGATATCCAACCCGCTATGCGAGCCGACTAATCTCAGGACGACCACATACTTTTGCAGATAGCCCGGAGTCACCGCATTTGAACCTCCGTGGCCAGAAAAAGATTTTTATTCCTCCTTGAATTTGAATTTGGGACCTCCTAGTACTTTTGATCTTTGAGATTTTAATACCCTTTTTGATCATTCTCATAGCCGTATGAGAATTTGCATGAGTATGTATATAAATTTCTCTAACTTATTAAGAATCATGTCGATGTTGCAAAGCAATTTAATATGTGGTCTATCAAAGCATGGATTACTAACCATATATTGTCATAATATAAATGGTCATGACATTCTTTTCATTTTTAGAGTATGAAGTTTATTATTGTATCTATATCTCGATAATATATCTTTATTATAAAAATTGAAAATTGGTTATCACAGACGTAATAATCGGTCAGCATTTTGTTGGAAACATGCACTATCGATGGAATACCAGAGAGAATAAATTAGTCAGAAACAATATTGTTGGTAAGACAACAATGATAGATTTTACAATGGCTATCTAACTTTAGCAACGACTTTATTCCTCTGTATACTTCACTAACATCGTGTATAGTAAAACAAAAACAGACATACCTCATCAATAGATGCCCTTGTAGCATACAATCTACTGGCACTTGAACTTACTGGCACTTGAACTTCCTGCATTTGAACTAGTAAGTTCGCATTATGATCTCAAAAGATGGTAATTGTTTTAAAAAATTGCAGGTTTAAATTGAATATTACCAAAAACTTGGTAAACTTGAAGATATGTAATGATATGAATGCATAATGTTAGCCGCAATGCCAACAGATCAATTATGCTATGTATACCGCAATCACAATACCAATGCGAGAAGATAATAAAAAGACAAGCATTAGTGAGTGAACTGAATAAAAAAAATACATTACTCAACAGCTAGTAGCCTTGGGATAACAGAATCTCTTACCCCGCTCCTCGACACCTCCCTCGACAACTAGACCCTTTTTTCAAGAAGCTCACTCATAGTCAAGGGTTCAATTATTCTTTTTCCTAGAAAGTCAGTATAATTATTAGATGATAAGGAAACAAAATATAATAAAACATGATGACAAATTTAATTAAGATATCTTACTAGCAACTACCTATGCTGATAACCTATAATCAGCCTGACTAATGCCATGCTTGTAAACATACCTCATCACATTCACATACACTTATTCAACACATCCTGCTATGTGATATGAACCTCTATATCGATGTTGTTGTATAATCTATAGATTTCATGTATATACATCATTTAGTAACTTAAATATATCACTTTCATTGTTGCCTAATTAAGTTACAAACAATAATATATACAAACCAAAAACGAATGGACACCCCTTGCATAAATCTAGGTTAATTCTCTTGAAGATGCCCAAGGACCATGAGACATGGACTTGATACTCATGATGATATTACATCCGACGTTCATATCAGCAAAACTACATAGAGCACCATAATTAACATTGCTATGATTGTTTTAAAAATATAAACAAATATACATACTCATACCCAATAAGAGTAACCACGGTCCTCTATGACGGATGCTAGGGTAACTACACCGCAACATTAAGGCCCTGACCCTGGCCTATATGTGAATACTTATTAGCATTACCCATATGCTTAACACTTGCTTTCCAAGAGCTTCATCTTTGAAGAGAGCTTTAGGATGCAAGATGCATGGATTATTGAGAAAGGCCCGAGATGGATAATATGGAATGCGAGGAGAGTGTAATATCATCTTGACTTGTTCTATGACTTGTATGTCGGGTACTCACGATCTGATGAATTGTTGTTACCTCTAATGGATCACCACGTCTGGTAGAACTGCTACCTCTGCCTATAACTGCGACATATGAACTAGTAACTCTACATCCAATAGATGAACTGGAAACTCTACCTCCACCTCCCATAGAACTAGTAAATCCTCTAGTTGAACAACTAACCCAACCTCTACCCAAATTTTGTTTCACATAAAACCAATGAATTCAAAATATTATTAATTTTGAACATCATGCTTTTAAGACAAGATATATACATACATTAGACTAGGTTAAAACAGAGTAATTATAAAATTTAGATGCCAAAATCAAAGGGAAAAATTAGATGGATTTTTTCCTCTTAATTCTTTACAAAAGTATCATAGTCTACATACATGATAAGCTATGTTCTATTGAAAGAATTTTCTTCATAATCGAACTTTTTTAATTAATCAACTTGTCGAATAATAAAATAAAGAACTCCTAGGCAGAGACATTTCACAAATGACTTAAGAAGACATTCATGAGTCTTTTGTTACTTCCGTAACTAGTCTCATCACTCTTATGCCTTACGTGATTTGAAATAGTTCATGATCTGATTAAGGCCGTAATTAGAAATCAATTAGACCATAACTTTGAAATAGTGGGATCAAATACGAGTGACTAGTATTATGGTAAACACTTCTATAGGACAACATTCATAGTCAGTCCCATTTACCATAATATTATTAGGTAATTAGGATAAATCTTGAATTTATTTATTATGCTTGAAACATCTCAAATTAGTGTTAACAAAAGGCAAAACCGTATTCTTATCATCAGTGTGGTATGATTTCTAATTCTAATCCTTGGGAAGCACTCATTAATTGAGACAATGAAAATGGCGACTAATATTCTTAATATATAATAGGCATCAGAAATCTAGGTTTGTGTTAGTAATAACTTAGATAAAACATTTTTCAGATACAAAATTTGGACCCTTCTAGCCTTGGGTTCCACGAAATATGGCATTGAGATAATTGAAATGTCACTCTTGTTCTAATTAAGACTAAAACTCAAGTATTTTTCCTGGTACGATTGTTATTGTTTATACATAAAATGCGACAAACATTGGTTTTTATAGCTAGTTATTACAACAATTAATTTGCAGTGGTTAAATAGTTATTTAAAGGTAAGATTAGTTATCAAATAACTACCAATAATTGTTACTACATCAAACTTCAAAAGTGACTTATTTTATGAGTTCTAGTCATTGGAATTTGAAGTGAAAGTTCAAAAGCAACAAATCTTTCTGAATAATAATTCAGAATGCTACACACTATCTGGATAAAATTTAAAAAGCAATCTACGTTCCGAAAGGTTCAGTGCATATATACCGTTTCACGGACATTGAGCCCCTTGGCACCCGCTATGGCCACTGCCCTACAATCCCGTAAGGGAGCACAATCCCTTTACCATCACTATATTGTGATCTAAGGTTCAAGGCGGCATATACAAACTTACATTCCGTTCCACCAAACTTGTCCTATTGTTCAAACTTGAATTTCATCTATCTCAAGTCAATCTCAATAACACCAAAATGTTTCATGACACTACATTACCAACAATATGATACCTTCTAAGTGTATCCCTTAGAAAATGTTTAGTGAGTTTTGGACATGTAGGGTACGTAACTATAGTCTTTTTCCTAGCTATAATGATTTTTTAATTTCTAGCTTACATTAAAGTTTCCTCAGATAAAGTTATTTAACTATAAACCATTAGTTATTACTTTATGAAATACCTTGAACATTTTAAGAATTATTGGTTCTATTTCCCTAAATTACCATTAAATTGTCGAAGATAAGCATGTTAAATTATTGGGAATGACAAAACTATTGTTAATTGGAAGTGATGGTGTTGTCAATATTGACTTCTTTTATATATATATATATGTATATATATGTATATGTATGTATGTATGTATATATATAGGACGATAATCATATGAGAACCACAAAAATATTATAAACATGTGACAATCGATAGAAAAGTATCTTTTTACATTAATTTTTTTTTATCAAAAACTATAATTTAACATATTGTTTCATGTATGTTTGTGTTCACTTTATGAAAAAAGAATGTGAAACCTTTTTTTATTCACTTAGTGAAACGGTAAATACACATGAAAAAGGTTCATATGGTGAATAAATACTTGTGAAACTATCATATTATAAAACAAATATATTTGAAACAATATCTTAAATCTTAGCATTTGATGAAAAAATCATCTAAAAATTAATTTTAAAATGGTTCTCATAAGTAGGCATGGCAACGGGGCGGGGATGGGGCGGGGTTTGCAATCCCCGGCCCCGGCCCCGGTTTATATCAACAGTCCCCGGCCCCGGCCCCGGTCCCCGGCGGGTACGGGGATTTACTTTTCGGCCCCGGTCAAATTTCGGTCAATCCCCGGTCAAGCCCCGGTCAAGCCCCGTACCAAGACCCGGTAAAATTAAATTTAATGTTTTTTTTCAAGCAACATCATCGTTACATCGTGATACATATGCTGTCATAATGGGTTTAAATGTTTACCCTAAACAGATGCTGTCATAAATAAGTAGCATTGAATAATCCCACATCAATTCTGAAATTAGAAAAACCAAATTCATTACTCTTTAGGGTGTTGCTGTTTGGGTTTAGAAAAAACAAAGACAGACCTCGAAGGATCGAAGAAGACGACCGATGGTTGTGGCTCACTGCTGCAAATCGATGAAGAATTAGAAGACGATTAGGGCGCGGCTCGTGGGTTGTGACGAGGACGAGCCGGCCGACGATGGCTGTGACGCTAGTCGACGGCAACAACAGTCAACACAGTGTGGTGTGTGCAGTGAGCCGACGGCAACGAGGGTTGTGAGTGTGAGCCAGATCCGACGTTCGGTGTTGTTTAGTGTGTCCTGTGTGGCTGTGTGATTGTGTATATGAGAAGAGAATGAGAAGAGAAGAGAATGAGAAGAGAATGAGTGTTCGTGTGGAGTT